CATTTAAAAAAATAAAAATAAATGAATAAATAAAGCAAACAAGTAAAAAAAAAACAAAAAACAAAAAAAGAAACAGGTGCTTTATCATAGTGTGTCTCTTGTCGTTCACCAGTTCACCCTCAGTGCTCCAGTAACTGTAACTGACTGGTGTGGAGTCTCAGATCTTTTTTGTTGTAGTTAACAAGCCGACACTGAAGTGCCCCGATGTGTGGATAGTTATTGAACTGCCAGGTGAGGGATGTCTCAAGGTGTTCACCCTGTTCAGGACTTTCATACGTAGAAGGTCTTTCAGGGTCCATTGGAGCCCAACAAAGAATATGTGCAAAACATTTGCTGGTATTCATTATAGACTTCTATATTATATGTTCAATACATCTTCTGATAAGTTGACGTATTTTTGGTTCCAAATGCATGACAAATGTCCCTCTTTTATATTTTAAAAAACAACCTAAAAACAATAGCTGTCACCTAAACTAAATGGCCTGGGGTCCACAAGACCCCAAAAGTCCTGAAGAGGGTTAATGAGATCTCAGGACTGCATTATAGGGATCTGATTAGTGATGGATCCTCTCTTCTGTTTAAAGATGGCTGTTCCAATTCAGGTGGCTCGGTGGTTAGCACCATTGCATCACAGCTAGAAGGTCGCCGGTTCACGTCCCGGTGAGGACACCCAGGATATTCCTGCGTGGAGTCTCCATGTTCTCCCCGTGCAGCCTGGGTTCTCTCCGGGTTCTCCGGCTTCCTCCCACAGAAACATGCTGAGGTTAATTGGTGATTGTAAATTGTCCGTAGGTGTGAATGTGAGTGTGCTTGGAAGTGTAGCCCTGTGATAGACTGGTTACCTGTCCAGGTGAACCTGCCTTCACCCTGAGTCAGCTGGGATAGACTCCAGCCCCCAATGACCCTGGTGAGCGTCTCTTCTCCTTCAGATGAGGACAAAACACCCACAAGCTGAGCAACGCTGTGTATGCAGGACTATGCAGCAAGAAGCAATGAACAAAAATCCACTTAAATCCCACTGAAGGCTTTTCTGAGTTCACCCTCTGCTTCACTGATGCCCTTTAAAAAAAAAAACACCTGATTTAACAACATTTATCCCAAACTGTCTCCAGAGAAGGTCACAAATGAGCAAACCTTCAGAACACATTAGCCGCCCTGCTTGTCCTCTCTCACATGATGAGCTGTAATTACTGCCATCAAACAGCAGGTTTAATGGAGCAGCAGAAGGTCCAGACAGGCAGCCTGACGGACGGATGCTGCAATTAGAGAACACAGTCCGGAGACAGCACGGTTAAAAGTATCAGGGACGGAGAGGCTGGCGCTGACAGACAAGTCCGAGGAAAAACAGACGTTCAGGGACAGAAACTAGAGAGTATTAGCAGATACTCAGACAGAGAAGCGAGGTAGCCAAGCTCTTAGCACCGGCAGCACATTTTCAATCAATCGTCTATAGAAGTCCGGCACTCTGATGCCTTCCAGCTGATGAAGGTTAAGATTTCTCTGTGTGCCGCACTTGTGTCTGTTTATCCAGAGCTATGAGTCACGCTGATGTGATTCTGTAAATTTCAAAGCGAGCTGCGGCTGAAATGTAAAGTGCATCGTCCAGTATTCACCCAGAGCGCACCGTGTTTACAGCAGTGAGAGGCCTTTCATCTGAATATAGGTTGAGTCACTGTTGTATCAGCCGCATAAATAATTAATAGAGAACAGCAAGACGAGGCATGACAATGCTGTAAACGACTGCTTCGAGGTTATCTGAGTTAAACAATGTGAAGGAAGGCTGCGTTTGAAGCCTCCATGCGAGCAAAGGGAAGCTGACAGCGCTCCGGTTTAGAGGGCACGCTCACAGGAGGGCATTTAGGTTTTCAGGTCACACTCTGTGCTCTTTAAGGATATCCACTTCCAGTTAGCGCCGATGCTGACGGAAGACCGTTGCTTTGCTTTCCTGTTTTCGACACGCCGTACGTTGTGACACGTCGGAGGCCTTTTCCTGTAACCGTGGTGATTGTGATGCACCACAAAGATATACAGTCGTCCTCAAATGTATTCACACCCTTTGTCCATTAAATAAAAGGCACAAAATTCACAATAAGTCACTCAAATAACTGGAAACTGAAAAAAGTAATAATAAATAAAAATTTGCTAAATTAGAATTTAGTGAAATATGATGTTGCTTTTGAATTGTGCTTAAAAAGAATAATAAAATAAATAAATAAATAAAGACTGTCCTGGACAAATTAGAGCACTTTGCTGGTGAGCAGTGGACCATTTCCATTGCTGATCAATCTGTCGATTATTTTCTTGATTAATCGTTAAGTTTACGATCAATAAAATGTCAGTCAGTGTTTCCCAAAGCCCAAGATGTCGTCCTCAAATGTTTTGTTTTGTCTGCAGACCAGAGATATTCAGTTTACTGTCATAAAGTAGGAAAGAAACCTGAAAATAGAAAAGAATTTAGACTTTTTTTCTTCTTAAAATGTACTGAAAATAATTGGCAAATAACATAATAATTGGCAACTAATTGACTATCTTCTGAGTATATTTTTGAGCGTGAGCATTCAAACACATTAAACACAACTAATAAGAATGTTTTTAGTCTTGTTTTTTTTATGTGGCTCATTATAAAACAACCAGAGCCGACCAAAGTGCTGCAACGACAGAAATATGTGCAGGATAAAAATGAGGAAAAAGTCAATTTATAAAGCAAAAATAATATGAATATATAATACTGTATTTAAAAAAAAGGATAGGATAACAACTTCTAAGATCAAAATTTAAAATAAAATAAACATAAAATACAAAACTATTAACAACCAAAAGCCATTGAAAACATGCACAGCTGGAGATTTTTTTTCTAAAGTGCCAATGGAGGAAGAACATTTACATTTTGAAGCTTTGGAACTGCTGCTCCTGCAAAGAGCTCCTTTACTGACCGTTATTGATCATGCAGCAGTGAACAGCAGCTGTTCTGAGGATCTACGAGGCTTTGATAGAGCAGAGAAATGTAACCAGATGCATGCATGGCTTTATGAACAAGAACAAAAGACATCAGCAAGTAGCCAGTGTGTGGATGCTGTTTTTTGGTAGCAGCAGCAGAGACGAGACAGTGAGGACTGACCGATACCCTGATCCAAGGAGTTGTAAT